CTCTCTCTCTCTCTCTCTCTCTCTCTCTCTCTCTCTCTGCACTACAAAATTTATTATTTAAATATCTTTTAAAAAAAAATAAACATTTTACGATCGATTAAAAATCTAAAAGAAAGTTTTATTTAATTAACACGTTTGTCCTCTTTTCGCTCTTCTTCTCACGTTTTATTTATATGTGTTAAATATCTAATCTGATTTAATTTTTGTTTACTTTTATTATATTTATTATTATTAAAACCAAATACTTATTATTGTTTAGTTAATAATTTTTTAATAGGTTCGCACTGCATGCTATATACAAAGCTAGCAGTTACCTCGAACTTACAGCATATTTGTTGCACAAAAAAAATAATTGTCCTGTTCTACAATATATGGCATACTTCAGTGACAATAAAACGCATCATATTTTATTAATAAAAATCAAAACGCGCATGAACATAATGAAATTGTTATCCCTTAGAAGTCAATGCGATGTATGAGCGAAATACGCATAGTCATTCAACAAATAATTTGCAATTACTGAACAAAATATAATAGTTTTCTCCCCCCCTGAATTTCACTTTTGTCCACTTAATTTGATGTACATTCGTATCATTATATGTAATTTATATTTTATATTTACCTGTTATGCTTTTTATTACTCCATAAATATATTTAAGAAACACCGACTACTCTGTAAATTAGGATTAATATTTAATATATAATAATTATGCTAAATTATAATAAATCTATGCTATTAAAGTACTAAATTTATTCATACATAAAAAAATTGAGTAAAGTTTGTGTTTCTTATGATTCAAATAACTGAAGAATTGAAATGTCTGTTGTGTGCTATGATTTATTTTGCAGCAATTTTGCGCAACCTGTATGTAATACAAACAAAGAAGAATGTTTTGTGTGTTTTCGTTTTTGATGTATCTTGTGGATTCCACAATCTACTAGCCTTGTATATTTTTTACATTGGCAAAATGTGAATTTTAAGACAATATTAATGATTTTTTCATACACCATATATAAATGAAATCTTTTAATTAGATAATATTGTTGAACGCATGTGTATGAATGTCAACCGGCTTAGCAAGAAGGATATGTTCACATTTCTCGATTTCTCATATCATATCTTAATCATGTGTTCTCAGGTAGCGGAGGTATAATGAGTCAATCGGGCTCTCAAGATGATGGCGAGTATGAAGTCATCATCGTTGACGAAAACAATTCTTCAATTTTGGCCGATCACGACGTCACATCATCTGGGCCGCCGTCAACCAAGGTAAGTTAAGTCTCATGGAAAAGTTGCAATTAATCCGAAATTTCGATGCGATCTGAAAAGTGCAATGGACACTTGTTCTCTACTGAACAAATTCGAAAGAAGTGTGAACATCGAGAATAATTGAACTGAAAATCTCACAGGTAAAAGTCTTGTAAAGTCCGTCACATTAAACGCAATCTAATAGTGACAATATAGTCTATGATTGGTATAAAAAAAGATGGTTTTACAAAGTTATAACAATTTTATATTACTTGAGACTGCATGCATTCGATAGATTAAGAACGTAGACACGATGATTCGGTGTTTCAATTTATCGCTTTACACAGCTCTACGTAGCGAGTACGATATACGGGTCTTTTTCTAAAGTAAAATTCAACTCCGTTTCTTTCAATACTACCCTGAGTATCTTTCTCTTTATGCTCGATAGTTTCAAATGATATTCACAGCAGCGAAACTTTAGCACTCTTCCATCACGCACGATCTTATGGGATATCCACCGCAGTAATGACCAGATAACTTGTGCTATCGCACAATGCTTTGCACTAATTTATCACGTGTATTGTTCGTCTTGCGATGGAGACTTATAAAGTCTTTACTTCAAAATACATATTGTGTAATTACTTGAATACATACTGTGTAATTACGATAGACCAGTTCATAGATAATTACATTAGATTTACACGTATTAAGACTCTTGACAAGGTAAATTTACATTCATCCTTAAATGTTAAATTTAAATTAATTAGTACAATTTTACGAGATTATAATACATATATTTTTATTATTTGTGTCAGCTCCTATTTTACGACCCTTAAGTGTAGTGTATTCGATAGTTGAATCTCCTAATATAATTACGTGATTTCGAGACCTGCCGTAGTTGAAGATCTCTTGTAATGCCCAGCATGTAATGTTCACTTATCGATTGATGTCTTGCATCTACGTAGTCCCAGCGTAACGACCGTTAGCTCAATTGTGATCTCTCGTAACTATCTCTCGCACGTAATATCTCTATCTATAATAATTACGGATTCTCTTTGGAAAATCGGCATTACCAGAGCAAAACCCCAATCTACCCGCGAAGTTCGGATACGTAATCGCACTTCCAAAAGTTAAATCATTGTATTTATCTGTAATTCTATCGAGCATGCGATACTTTGACTCTCGAATTTCTCTCATTGTTAACTTCCTCTGCTTGCATTGCTATGCGTACTAACTACTGGTTCTGAAGGGAGGTCACAGTGGTGTACCTCGGCCGCGGACTATTCTCGAGGATTACACCTCATCAGAACCAACGCTTGGCACTTCTACAAGGTCCGAACCACTGCCACGAAATCTACAGGTAAAATTTAATTTGAGTACAGATCCGGATGTGTGGAGGACGTTGACGGGAGCTCGATTCCCGAATTATATCACCGCGACCGGTCGCGTTTTGAGAGCGATCAGAAATGTATTTCTAATTATTTTAAATTTTCTTACTCCATAAAAAGAATGCGAGAGAATACGCAACGGTACAATAACGCCCATTTGACGGGTGCAAGAAAGAGAGAGCGATATATACATCTTGAATCATATTCTTTTTGGATGTTTATGTAATATTATTATAGTATAATGTAAAATAGCGGTCCTTACACGCGTAACTTTTGTCTTATATTAGAATTAACAAGTTCGCTAACGAAGCTTGAATACATGAGAAGCTTGGTTCTTTCTTTCTATAATATATTAGTTGATTGCGTAGTAATGGTGTACTATTAATTGCATGTAATGAAGTAAGTACATGGCACGCGAGAGTATATCATGAAGTGTGATTGTATGAAATTATCCTATGAAATGTTTTTGTAATAAAATATAGCTATAAATTTTCATAGTAACTGACTTCAGCATCGTAGTGAGATTCTTAGGCTTGGACATACGTTATATCTGAATAGCTTTACATAATAACGATTATTAAAAGGATTTTTGTGTTAATTCAATAAAATTCAGTAATGTGAAAAATAAAAAAATTTTAAATATTGTCATTAATATACCGGTTGAAAAATAAAAAAAATTATATTTTATTATAAAAAATAATTTAATCTTGATGCATAAATCTTTAATCAATTCTTCCTGTTTAAAATGCCTTAATATTTTTTTAAATAATTTACGATTAATTTTAACTGAAATAGAAAAAATCCCAATGTTTCATTCTTCCCTTTATTTCAAACAACTTTCTCCCAGAGCAATGACTCCAGTGAGGAGACAGTACATCGCAGCAATATCACTGCGGACCCGAGTCCTTCTGAAGTTACCACCGACAACGAAAACAAGCACAATTCTTCCGAAGAAGCTTGGACAGATGTAAATCTTAATGAAGACGGTGATACGATGCCTATTACAAATCCAAGAGAAGATCCGCGAAACATCCATAATATTGCACACTCGCGTGGTAAGAATCGAATCAGCTGTGGTACCATCGCTTGTGGATGATAATACAGTTCACAGTTTTTAATACAGTTTTTGTTTCTCAATCTGAATAGTGATTCTTATGTGTTTTTCGCTACTGAGAGAAAGTAAGAAGTTCTTACAGATTTTAGGAAACTAAGAACTTTTATTTTTGAAAGTTTAAACAATTAAATAAACTACAATTGTTTGAACTACAAGTTTAAACAATTTGTTTCTTTTATAATTTTTTGCTTCTTCTTTTGTAGTAAAATATATAAAAATTGCAATTCACACATACACAAATGTTGAGAAACAAAAAACTTGTAAGTCAGTGTAATTTTTTGATATTAAATATTACCAATAAATTTTATTTTTTTAATATATCACTTAAAATTGTACATAAAGAATAAGAGAAGAGGTTCATATTTTACATTTATTTTCATGCATTATAAAAAAATATTTAAATTTTTCTTAATTATATATTACATATATTATGAATTTGCGTTATTACATAAAAGAAATCAAAAACAAGATTTTAAAAATTGAAAAGAAATTAAATATTTTATAGAGCACATTATTTTTTAGTAAAAAGTTTTACAAGAGAAACACCTATTGCTTGTTGAGAAACAAAATCATTGATCAAAATTTGTTCAATATAATTAATCTCATTAGATGAATCCTTGTCAATTTGGTATGTAAGGCAAGATGTATTATAAAACACACAGGCGACATGCAAGACAGCGAGGGCAACGTTCTCGAACAAGAAATGCTCGGTAATGCCGAACGTGGGGAGAAACCGTCGGCGGAAATCTCCGTGGTGAGAGTTCCTGATCGGTTGGTAGTAACCGCAGCATCCCCGAGAGCCGATGAATTGCCAATCAAAGGTCTGGTCGATCATTTACCTGTACCAACACCTTCCCGTGAAGCCTCTCTCACGCAAAAGCTGGAAATGGCTTTGGGTTCGGTTTGTCCCCTCCTTCGAGAGATCATGGTGGACTTTGCTCCCTTCCTGTCCAAAACACTTGTTGGCTCCCATGGTCAAGAATTGTTAATGGAAGGAAAAGGTACGAGCTGCAAGGGTACGTCTAACGTACAATCATTCTTCTGTGTTCGATGTATGCATATTGCATATGAATCAGCATAAGAAAACGAATATTATAAACAAACCAAAAGAAATTTTCTTTTCGAGTATCATTTTCTTCAAATATTTTTTGATGTTTGTATATGTGTGATTTTAGAATAGTCTCTATATAAATTGCGCTATAAACACACCGTAGTTTTATTATGTACGCGCTTATAAAATGTAAAAGGAAATCACGGCTCTCACATTCCGCATTTTACGCGCGCGTAATATGATATAGAATGTCTGAGGCTCGATAAATAAAAAGGATATATTTCACGTTGGACTTTATTACACGGAGAACAGTCGTAGCATGGTCTATGTTTTCTAAGCGATGTCGAGATATATCACGCCCACGAAAAAAAAAGAATGAAGGATTAAGGAACTAAAACTCAGCAGTTTCATGTAGACATATTTTCCAAAATTATAAATAAAATTATTCTTCGTCATTTCTCGTTATATTTTATATTGCGGCAAAATGTTTATTGTAATTATGCATATTTAATATATTGTCAGAATGCTCCATTATTTGCTATTTTATACTGCTATTGATTATTTAACATAATTTTTTCGTCTCTTTTTTTCTAAACGTCGTACATTATCTTGAATAAATTTATTATTCAATTCGTAAACATACAACAAACCAAGATTCGTCATTAAATATTCCGAGATTGATGTATTATGGGCGCTTTAAAAGATAAAATAGCGATCATAAAAATAAGAATTCAACAATGTTGTGCGTTTAAAATATTTAAAATTGTATGTTTAGATATGCTTGCGTGATAAATAAAAATTTGGGGTTTTTTTAAATAGGCATACTTGGCGGGACTTTCGTCACTTTTATAGTATTTCTATCTCTGGTATTTCACACCGAGTATTCAAATTAGTCACTTTATGATTTCGCTTTAGGAAGATGGTCAGCGTATTCCAAGTAATCGCTCACCATTAGTATTCAGCATGCGCGTAGAGACTACGATGATTCTCGCAGATTTTATATTCAAGGAACGTGGCATTTGATGGTTTTGCAACGTATCGATGTATTTTATTTTTAACAATATCCGCGATACGGTCTTGGTAGAACGCGACACTGTTCGTTTCTTTCGTCTGTCAGTCATTGTTATGCACCGTTTATCGTTCGTTCGTTTAATGATTCCCTGTCTGTAATTTGCCAGGTTTAACCACATTTAAGAACAGCAACTCCGTCGTGGAATTGGTTATGCTCCTCTGCTCTCAAGAATGGCAAAACTCTCTGCAAAAGCACGCAGGTCTCGCTTTCATCGAGCTCATTAACGAGGGAAGGTAAGACGTTTATTATATGGCTAGGCGCGCAAACAAAACCAAATCAAACTTTCTCGTTTCCCTTTATGAAAATGCTTCCTTACGTTACACAGGCTGCTATCTCACGCGATGAAGGATCACATAGTAAGAGTCGCGAACGAAGCAGAATTCATTTTAAACAGGATGAGAGCGGATGACGTGCTGAAGCATGCTGACTTTGAGGTATTGCATGCATTTCTTCCGGCGATTTCATTGCTCTGTAAATAGAACCGACCAGTTTTTGTCGCCAGATCGTTTTCGCGAGTCATCTAATACCAATATGACAATCCTGCTGAAATATATTGTTTTAATCCAACGCTATAAATTATTTAAAAAAAAAGCATTAATAATACTACTCTTTTCCTGGTATTTAGTCACAATGCGCTCAAACACTATTGGACCGTCGGGAAGAAGAACGCATGTGTGATCATCTAATCACCGCAGCACGAAGACGTGATAATGTTATCGCTAGCAGGCTTCTGGAGAAAGTCAGAAATATTTTATCTAACAAGCACGGTGCTTGGGGATATATGGATCCAATGGCTGCAAAGTGAGTACAAACATTTGAAATTGATTTCACATTACGTAATCGTATTCTGTATATCATATTATTTGGCTATTATTGCTGTTTACAGATTGGCCGAATACTGGAAACTAGATGCTTGGGAGGATGATGCACGTAGACGCAAGCGTTTCGTGCATAATCCACTAGGCTCGAGCCACCCCGAGGCTACTCTCAAGGCGGCTCTAGAACACGGTGCACCCGAGGATGCGATACTTCAAGCGCGTGAAGAGTTTCACGCGCATCTCGCAGCCTCGCGTGCACACCAACAGCAATTGCAGTCGGCGGATCTTCTGGATGACAGTGAATTGCTGACGGACGACAGGGATCTCGACAACGACTTGACAGGTTGGTCGGTGTTGCCTGATAAACGAGACGCGACATTTTAATGGCATATTACTGACCGCACAAACCGGTTTTATTTTCGTCAATCTCGCGCCGCAATTTCGTTAAAATCGTTATTTAAGTATCGATCAATTGTCATCTGTTAGTTTAATTTTCTGCATTTAATTTCCAATTTCTATGCATTGTACATTACAAAACAAGCATGCTACCGATAATTTGTAGTGTGCACGAGTTTAAAATAAAATAAGAAATACAGATAAGTGAGAAGCGCCGAAATACAGTTGAGACTGGATCTTGGTGCCTAATAATATTTGTACGTAAATTTTTGAATACATCTCTCTTTCAGTTATATATTCTTTCACTCTTTCAGTTATATTGCATAAAAATGAGTCAATCAGTTTAAATAAAAAAAGTTGCATGTACAGGCAATATGCTATTACTTCATTAAGGTGTTGTTTACCAGCACGCAGATTAATCATTTATGTTTTATCAGGTCCGGTGAATATTAGTACGAAAGGCAAATTAATCGCACCCGGTATCGTGGCGCCTGGCATCATTTCCGTAACATCTACAGAACTGTATTTCGAGGTGGACGAGGATGATCCGGAATTCAAGAAAATCGACAGTGAGGTAAGTACTTAAATTAAAACACATATGGAAGGACATATGATAAAAAGACATACTTCTGAATATGTGTCTTTGTCACAATATGCGTTATTTATATAATCTTCGACAATTAGTTGCTTTATCTTGTCTTCTTTTCATTAAGATAGAATAAATGTATTTGGAACATTCGCGGTGTTATCTGTTTAAAATGTAGTCGCCAGTTGTCTTGCCGATAAAACTGTATTTTAATGAAAAACCAACTCGTCGAGAAAGAGACCAAAGTTAAATTTATAGCGTTTTCTTATAAAGCTTAAAAAGTTTATCTTTAAAATAATGTAAGATCGACTGAGCATTCGATAGAAACATTAATTTTGTGACACGTTTAGTTTATCTTATTTTGCAATCATATATATTGCATTATTGTTTTCCAATTTCTTTTAATTCGCTTCTATCATTTATCGCAAACGCATCTTTATCAGCATGCGATAAAAATAAATTTAACACTGCGGCTACAGCTTAAAAATGTGTGCGGTAATAGCGTATACCCATTATTTACATATTAAATGTTTGAGGTAATATTTTACGCTGGCCTCTCTTAAACTGACGAACGCGAAAGCCTAAGGTAGCCGCTCATAACGAAGAGTATCAATCATTTCAACCGTCGTAGAATTTGAATAAGTGTACGTCGTAAATGATGAGACGTGGCGAAAGCTTCCACGGTACCGCTAGTGGAGGCAGATTCTGGTTAGAATTAGTTCGGACGTGTCCCTGTCTATCAGTGTCCATAAGGTACCCTACATTCGTGAAGCTTCTACAATAAAAAAAAAAGAAGGGAAAGACGAGATAAATCCGAGAGAGAAGTTGAGAGAAAGAAAGAGAAAGAATGAGAGAGGAAGATGAACTGGAAGAACTAGAAGGACGATTATCATATATCGGTCGTAGATCTCGCGTTTGTATAACTAGGGAATAAAACAAACAGAGGAGGGCCCCATGGGGTCGACCGATCTTCAGGGTCGGCAATTATGAGCCCCCTGCGGGGCCCGGTATCTGCTTGCCCGCTCTTTCGTCTCTCTTCCTCTCGATCTTCCATCGCTTTGCCACTCACTAACTACGTATCGGTGGCATAAGTGAACAAGCTTCTCACAGGAATGCACTGAAACTACCGCATTTTCCCACCTAGTCGATGAACATCACTCAGGGAAGTCATGTTTCCAACGCGACGTAAATACATATAAAATTTCTGGTATCCATACTGAGAAAAAAATTTCTGGTACCAATAAGAAAAATAAAAAACTCCCGCTCATTTAAATTAGAATTCTGGTTATTGCAATTGAATTTCTAGTTATCTTGAATCTTTGATAGATTAATTACCTTATAAGCGTTTGATTAATACATTTTTAGTTAAATATAATTAATACAATAAGATTTTTTCCAGTACGCCTCGATGATGCGAATAATTAAGTAATTTTGTAAACAATCGTTAGCTTTCTCGAATTATATTATACTATTACGATATTTATGATAATGACATTTTTCATTGTCTATGAATTTATATCACGAATCTCAATAGAATCAGTCTTTTTTAACGCTTGCCGCGACGTTCCTCGTTAGCTAATAAATAAAATATATTCGATGTCGCGAGAGACTCTCAGTAATCGCTTGCCGACGATCGTATCGCTGTGTTTCTCGGGGATATGCACAAAGATTTCGCAGTGTCCACCTGTCGTCTCCGTTATATCTTGACCGACGGACTTGCCCATTAATAGGACGTACGAACTCATTCGGGCTCTCTTAATTGGAATCCTTTTTAAGAAGGAACGCACCTGGAAGTGAGGAGGGAAACAGCGCGAGAAGGGAAGAAAGACAGGCAGACAGATAGAGGTGCAGGAGAAGAAGGAAGCAGAGATAGAGATGAAGAGGCAAAGCCAGAGAGAGAGAGAGAGATAGAGACCGGTCGTTCACGATCGAGACACGCTCATTAGTCGAGGATGTCCCGAGGGTAGGCGGGAGGCTTCGTCGAATTCGTAGGCGATGGATCACTCGATAGTCGAGCCGAGACTTAAGCGATCGTAATGCGCGGCCGCAGAAGAGGATGCACCCAGGAGTGGCCTCAGGGAGGGACTGCATATCGGGCCGCGCGCCGCTGCACCCTTTTGTGCGTATCTCTCCTCATGAGTCTCCTCCACCGCCGATCGCGCCGATTTCTCCCTTCTTCCTCCTTCACCTTTTATAATGGCCCAGGCAAACGTATTTATCGTGATTTATCGTTTACACGGGTTTCTCCTTTCTCTCCCGCCCCACCGTTCCTCCTTTCTCTCTCTTCTCTTTCTCTCTGTCCCGCAACGCCGTATGTTAAAGATAGAGGATGCACACCGTGCGATTACGTCGAGAATGAATTATTGATAGTCCGCACGAGGCATTAATATCTAAAACAAATAATCAACGATACGGCCGCTCTTTCGCAAATGCACTTTTCGTCTCTAATTTGACGAAGAAACTATATCCTATGCTCTTCTTCTGCAGATTAAATACTGAAGCGCAAAGTCCTTGCAGCCATTTGTAAATTAACGGTTATTTATATTGCGTATCATATGTGAGATTTATGTCACATAATTGCTCGTGATGATACGTAATAACGATACGCTGTCGTCGCGACTTGCATACGCTGAAAATTGAGTCGCCACTCGGGTTATTCTTAGAGATAGCAAAACGTGAAGTACGGCCGTAAAATAAATAATCAATTTCCTGAGTTTCTTATTAGTATTCATCAAGCTGAAAAGTTATAGAACGCGCATATTTTATTGTAAAAATATATACACAGAAAGAATGTTTTTGCTAAAGTGTCTGAAAATTTAGCTAGATACGCATCTAAAAATAATTTTGTTTGGACCATAAAAATAATTATGTATGTAAAACATTCAAACTGGTTGCTAAAAAATCGTTAAAATTTTTTACAGCATGGCCATCAACCTCTTAAATATTTTACATAATTATTTTAATGATCCAACAAAATTTGTTGTGTGTGCGCGCGCGCGTGCTTCCAAATTTATATCCAACTAAATTTTTAGACACTTTAGCAAGAGCGTTTCTTCCGTCACGATACAAATCGACACCACTTTTTAAGTATATAAGTACACGTTATATTAATATATCAGCGCGCAATGCAATAATCTTCAAAAAGTTCATCATTAATTTTGGTTTTTACGTCATTTTATATCCTTCGAGTTTGCATTTTGGAGGAAAAAAAAGCAGATCAGATTTCAATAAACCTAACGGCTTGTTGCCTCAGCTTCAAGAGGGTAGGTCACACGAGAGACATTAAACTCCGCGTCGCGGTGGATCGAGCGACTCGTATTTTTATGGAAACCTGCTCTGTGGCGCCTAAAGTTCCCCTTCCTGTAGTATAGTTATCGCAGACACATGCTGCGAATATCCTTGTGGGATGCCCAGTGCTGTTATGAGAAAAAGAGAGAAAGAGATAGTGAGAAAATGGAAGAAAGAGGAGCGAGGGATACTAACCGGACAGGTGGTCCGTGCCATACGTTGGTGTTCATTCGCGACGAAGATACCATTAACGAGGGATACAGTGCCGTGAAAAATCCGAGACATCGAGCCGTTTATCAATGATAGCAAATACAAACTGCCTCGTAGATCATACGACGCTAGAGATTTCCAAGTTAGTGGTATCTTGCCGCGATTTGCTTCACACTCGGGATTATTAATATCGCCGTGTTATTCATACATAAATATACATTGTGCAGGCGATTGTGTAACTGATACGAATCTCTCTGTAAGATAACGATACAAAAAGAACTTTCTATCGGGAGCATACGCGTTGTATATAAAGGACTAAACGAGAATGACAGGAGGGCGGATTGTGACCGAGCACCGGTTTAATGTTAAGCGATTACGGCCTTCTTAGGCAATACATATGCATGACATCGATGTAATATAGTGCGAGTGACGTTATAATAATGCGACTGTAATTATTCCGCGCCCCGATCTGCAGTATCTCGTGCTAGCATTACAAAGACTGTCCACTTCGCTTTAACCACCAGCCATCGAATGCGCGACCGTATCTTATCGCAATTATTCCATCGCATTATCCTTGCATCTTGCGATTATAAACGCGTGTCGATAAATAATAAAGCCTGTCAGCTACTCTTGCGGTCAGATTGCCATGCAGTACGTGGCTTCTTCGATAAAGAGACGCGCGCTTTTCCTCTCCAGAGCACGATGCGTCTGTGCTCGCTCTTTGAATTATGTATCGTGAATTCCGGAATAATAACTCTCGTCGAGTTTGATGAATAAGCATATAACTCTTGATCGAATCTAATTCCTTTTGCTCACGTATATATCACCCGTGTTATTATTAATAAAAACGAGAGGCAATAATTACTCTTCCAACAGTTTCATTGTGCGTTTTCTGCCGAAGGCACGAGGATCGAGGTGCATAAGCGCGTATCGAGATACGAATTTGCATATCCTGCATTATTTAATCGATCCACGATTTCGATGGGACTCGACGTTGCCGATGATCAAGTAGCCAATGACCAGAGGGGTAGTCTGCGCGAAAAGGATGCAGTTAGTTTGGTAAACATCCATCAATTCGTGGGCAGGGCAACGCGAGGCAGAGAACAGGGCAGAACCTGAAGACCAGGCAAGCTGGAAGGAGCAGGCGGGCTTATTCTCAACAAGGCAGGGGTAATCACTGCTATTAGTGCGGACATTACTCCGGTGGTCCGCCAATCTCCGTAACACTCCATCATATCGGTGCCTCAAGGCTCTTCAGTGGTGTAGAAAATGAATTTTCCTGCAAACTCCAATCGCGCGACGTTTTACACCCGCGTAAAATACTTTTAATCGGGAAAAAAATGACTCGATCCAAAAATAATCATCACAATTGATTACTATCTGCAATTGGCAAATACTAGAATCTTAATTTTCAATTTGTGCATCGCACTTTCTTGACTCCTATCTCAAATTTAAACTATAAACATATTTCTGATACATAGATCTTTAAA